AATAACAGTGATGACAAAATAAGCAATGCTAAGCAAGCATCTTTGCTGACGAAAACTTTCCACTTTTTATACTGCTGTACAACTTGCTCCCTCTTCAAGCGGAAGAATGATGTAAAGTGTCTTTAAGATATCAAAGTTCACACACGGCAGCATCTGTTTGATAAATGAAATCATTCAATTGTCATTTTTTTATCATTTCATTTGCTGCAATCATTTTGTTTGTTTATTGATTCCTTCACAGAGTTCTATACTGCATATCAGCTGCAAGAATTTCATTATCAACTTAATTCCACGTGTAAACTCTAACTATTCTGGATAATAGAGCATTTTATCATTCATCGATCGGATGTAATTTATTATTTATCGATCGGATGCACAGAGAGCTGCGAACTTTTGATGTTTGCGAAATCAAAAAAAAGAAATAGTACGAACTGATTAAGAATTCAGAGAAATTTTAATTTTGACAATCCAATTAATTTGTAATTGAGATGGATCAGTCATTTTTAGACATATCAAATATCCTTTATGAATAATTTTCCTGGTTTATGAATACATTTATATTGATTTATTCAATTTATCACATTGCATTACAAGTTAAATGTAATTCGCAATGCTTGCAGATTTTATTCAGCAGTACTGATATTGTCTGAAAAAACATTTTAATTGTTCTAAACTGTATGAAATAACTGAAAGTGAAGTTTGATATTGCAAGATAACATTTTGATGTAATATTTAAATACTTTTTGCTAGAAAGGTTTTTGTCTCTTTCTTTTTCTTCACCATTTGACAACCACAATAAAATATTTTTCGATAATATACAAGAAAGATGCACACATCAAAATAAATAATCATTGGAAGGTTTTCTTGCTATGCAAATCTTTCAAAACCTCGTCCAACTCGTCATCCTCCATCTTATCTTTCAAGCTAAACAATAACTTTCTAATTGTTATACCGATGGAAAAAACAATAAAAGAAATTCAGGGAAGTGAAATTCTGGAAAGTTGATTTTCCACGCTAATTAGATCTTATAAATGATGCAGAAATGATCAGAAAACCTTGGCATTTAGCAACCGTGATCATTTAAATAATCTTAATAATAAAGAGAAGACGAGAGAAAAAAAATCTAAAAACCTGGGAATTAAAGCTTTTGCTTCTTTAGAAGTTTCTGGACAAAGGTTAGCAATTTGTGCAACCTCGAATTTATGTAGCGGCTTTGTTGCCAATAAGCTGCAACCAGTTTTAACATTATTGAAAACAAGTTTTCATTTCGATAACATCAGTAGTTCTAACATTTACGTTCTAACAGCTCGGATCGTTTCCCTATTTTTAAATCGTGCTATTCGTCGCGTATAATCCAAAGTTTTTATGAATACATTATTCATTGCGTCGATTTCTTCCTGAAAACATAATTTCATCTGCTAATGGCAAAAGACCGATATCAATGATATCAATATTACATTCACCTATAACGCAAATCATAAATGTTGCAGAGAGTGATAAAGCCCGAAAAAAGGAATTTATTCAACTGATGTACCTTGCATGTTTACATGATAAAAAGTTTAAGCGTAAAATTTGAATTACGATATGGATTCGAAAAAAACTACAATCTTATTTAAAAAACACAGAAAACTTTGAAAAGAAATTATGGCATAAAATTAAAAAGTTATATCTTATCATCCACTTTCTACCATCTGTGAGATGAAGCTATAATGTAATTACCTGAATTAATTTATCGCTCTAAAAACCAAAATTGTATCCAAAACTATATCACTTTTCTGTATACGTAACAGCTCCACCTCTACGTTAGCTTTGACTAAAAGTTCAAACTTGAATGACTAAACTCGTTTAAGCATATAATCTGATCAACGACTTTACCTTTTGTTCACTTTGCTGACGTCGTTGTTCTAACAGTAAGTACACCTCTGATGTAAGCAAAGTATCAGCTTGTTTAAATTCTGTAAATAGAAATAAAACAATCCAAGCAGAAAGAGGTATTGCTAAAAGGACATAAAAGCATACCAAGCAGAAAAATAATTACACACTAAACTAAAGAAAAGAAATGAAGCAAACCTTTCGGAAATTTCAATTCGGTCGCATCTTCATCAGTTGCATCATCCGGCTGATTACCGGGCATTATCCCCTTCCGCTGCTAGAAACAGAAATCCCTATAAAGCTCTACATCTATGTGTAATTTATTGAGATTTAAAAAAGTTGACCATGCATAATGAATGACCACAATCGAAGCATATTTAAAGTAAACAATTGTTTTTATTATTCAGAAAGATTATTTAATAATACAAATCGCACAAATAATAATTTCGCAAGAGCGAAAAAGCATATCATCGTGGATTATCAGAAAATAGAAAAACGAACAAATATTCACACTCGTTATTTTTTGTAATCAATCATAACGATTATTACTTTCGTTATTGGTTGCAACAAATCATGAAAATAAATTAGATAAGACTAAAACAGCTAGAAATTATCAACATCGATGGTGATAGCGGGAAAAAGGAACCAATGAAGATTATTTATAGATCAGCAAGAATATAATAAAAATGCTGGCATAAGTTTACATCAAATTAAATTTGTCTCACAACGAGACAAAATTATTTTACAACTGTATTTTTACACGTACTTAATTTTCACTGAAAATTCAATAAAATACTTCATGAATATATCACTGAAGAAAATCGTAATCTTTGAAAAGCTTAAAGACATTACAAATATTCAGTGTAAATCACTCATTCTCATTTCTCACTATTTCGCTTAATCTCTTGATTAAATCTTTCACATCATTATCGCCACCAAAAGGACGCAACAAATGTGCAAAACTGTAGGAAGATGCGAAATTTGAAATAAATAAATACTGCTATTGCCAGAATTACTAGCTACTCATTCTATATTCTACCATGTGCCTTGGTCTTAGTCTGTAAAACATCTAAGTTGAGCATTGCTTTCCATATTACTCAGAAGAATTTGTAAAAAAAACATTTGATCCATTTCATGTAATTCATCAGTAAGTAATTTGGCAACAATATTAATTAAAAATTATGATTTATAATTATCGATTATTTGTTTATCCAGAACGATCGCAGCAAAATTTCAGTCAAGCCGTTCTGCAAAGAATCTCGTCTATTATGCTTACTTTCAGATGCGTTTCTGATGTATTTGGTATCTCTTGTATGTTCGCAGCACATCCCGGAAAATTACATTTATATTGAAAAGCTACTGTTACGACATTTGTTTTTGCATAGCATTCTATTGCAGAGCTGATTAATAGAAATATCAGTACCACAGTGTTTATTTCTTCTTACACATATTTGAAACGAAACATAAATGCTAATGTTATCTCTGATGGAAGAATTTCACATGGCATATAATTAATTAACTAGTTATGGAGATTTTTAATACTTTCTTAATGTCATAAAATAATTACATGAATTATCAGGAGTAGAAATATTCACTTTATTGTTCTTCTTTACTTGTTAATAGAAGAATGATTTGGGACTGCTTGTTGAGGATAATGCTTCAGAAGAGTTTGGTCTGACGTAGATCGCAATGCTATGTCAAAGCAATAGATAACACCAGAACAATCTCTCTTCGATTTGAATGGTATTTGGTAAGTACTGTTTGTAATAAAGTAGATAATTCGTCTTTTGACATGAAACTTATAGTACAAAAAAGGATCAAAGATCATTTGATAGATGACACTGATGAAATCGATGATAAAAGGGATCATTTAATATTAATCATTTACAGTATCTTTTGGAATCATTAATCGAGAAGTTGAAGAAAAGCCATTGTTTTCTGGCAATAACTGATCTATTGATACTTGAATTTCTTAGTTCTTTTTCCATTTAATCATCATCTATTTGATACATTTCAGAAATGCATCTGAAAGTAAGCATCATAATAAACGGGGTAATTGGCTTGATTGAAGTTTTCCTGCAACCGTTCCCAATCATTTGCTTTGATTCAAAACTAGTTTTGGAAGTTTAATTTAGCATCATTTTCAGTCCTTTCTTTACGCGATATAAATGATATCCGGAACGACTTCTATTTGGTAGTATCTGGCTATAAAAATCGAAAACGAAACTGATTCCACCACCGCGAAAATTCGCAATTATCTGTTATGCCAAAAACCTGATTATTCGTGATTTGATTACCTCTCATCAGAGGTAATCACGCATAATCAGTTTTTTGTTTCAAATATATCTCAAAAAAGTAAACATTTTCTTGCAATTTAAATTAATTTAAGTAAGAAGTGATAAGTTTATTTTAGTGCACTGATATTTTTATGTTCATTTGACAAATCAAGTTAATTAATTAGCAAATGGCGTGATGGAATGCTAATGGCGAACAAAAATACCATACCAAGAAGTTTCCAGACATGCGTCATTGAAAGCACATAGAATGCAACCGAATATCTAATATATACTATTCATTTCTTCTAGCAGCAATAAGGCAACATCTAAACACTACTCATTCTATACCTAATAGAAAGAGATTCGAAGTTCTGTAGAGGCACGAAAAGATACATAAGAATCAAAAACTGAGCGACATCTTCAAATGCAACGGCTATTTTTAATCTTAGTGCGATGATATTGGACTTTCTGATCTATATGATCTTTATTACCTTATTGGATGGTAAATATCCAATAGTTATTGAGAATGACGAAAACTTTTAATTGACAGCAATAGTAAAAGGTCGAATGTCAACATATTTGGACATATAAAATGCATTCGCACCACAAATGAATAACTCATAATAACAAAAATATATAATATAATAAAACATAAGAAGAAAGTTCTTATTCAACAATTTATAGCAAAAGTTAAATTGTGAGAGAGAACTAAGAAAATTTAAATTAATTGGAAAGCATAGAGATTTATCTTTAGCGAATGAAAATTATTTTTTAAGTATACAATAAATATGTTGTTCATTGGCATGGATAATATCTTATCAAATATTATTGGGAAAGATTGATACAGTAATGTTACATTTCAAACGGATAATAGCCACGATCCATTTTCATAAGTTGCGAATTGTCATTGAACATTCTGCAGGTTGAAGTACAACAACAAATGATTCCGTCCATCAATGGAAGCGATGAATTAGAATCATTCTCGCGTACAGCATTACAACGTGTTAGTTTAGTTCTCGTAATCTGAGCATGATTATAGCAAGTGTACAACAATCGCAATTTCGGTTTCATCAATACTATCTTCGGAATTTTATCGATACATCCTCGCTACAAATGGATAATTTGAAAAAGATGAAATTACAATATAACATTTAAAATTTGCAACAATTGAATTTAGTTTTTGTTACTATTTTATTATTTTAAAACTCTTCCAGAGAGAATGCATCACAATATAACTTATTCGAAGTATTTTAAAAATTATTTACCGTTCGAAATCCATGAACTGTAAGAAAATCGAAACATCCTTTGCGTGATTTACACCTAATACGATTACTGTGACCATCAGCATGACATAATGATCGCACTAATAAATTACGATTTGCACTTTCTGTTCGAATAACTTCTGGTAACAATCGATTACGAATATTCAAAGGCCCTGACATAGAAAATGTATTGAATAACTTTTGGTAAGTTAAATTGCATACATTTTTATTGAACAATTAGATTTATTTTTATTTTGTTTGAAATTTAAGTTGACATTAATAATTTAAGTTGTCATTAACATTTTAGCTGGCATTAACAATTTATTTGGAAATGTAAATTGACATTACTTACAAATTTAGTAAAGAATTACGAATTTCTATCAGTAAGTTTTTAGAGAAAACATTTCAACGAAAAATTAGCAATTTTCTTTGCATACTTTAGATGACTAATGAATGATTAATTGAAAGTTTAATTAAGTAAATGATTAATTTATTAAGGCAACTAATAATTGTTAATATAACTGAGAAAATTGAAACCATTGCATGGCTCATAGTTCTCGCGTTGAAAGCATGTAAATAAATAATGAACTCTCATACGATTGCTATCAGGTACATTTACTGTAAAAGTCATTACTCGGCGTATCTTTTCAACATTTCCGCTCATATTGTATAAATAACTGATAAGCTCATCAAATGGTCCACTACGATGTTCGATACCATTCTTGTATGGATCGATTGCTATCATATCATAGCATAATGGATAATTTTTTGTTCTCTGCAAAAAAAACTTATTAAACTAATATTTTTTTCATTATTATTCAAATGTAGTAAATTAATTAAAAATTGAAGAAAATTGTTTATAAATATCAAATCTGATTTCCATACCGCTTTTATATATTTTGTTGGGCCTAAGACACCAAAATTATATTTGTCATCCAAAAGACTTTTCAAATTTTCCGATGTTTTGAAACACATTGGTACGGCTAATTTTGGTCCTTCATTGCGTACTGCTTTTTCGAATTCAGCATCACATGCCTGAAACATCAAATCATTCCTAATATTTAGTCACAATATTATATTACGATAACAAGCATTGGCTATATAATTGTGATATTTGTGGTTTCAAGTAATAGGCAGAAAATTGTCAAACTTTATAATGCATTAAATATATTACAAAGAAACATATTTTAAACTGATATATTTATACCGACAATTAATTGAATATTTTTAAACTGATCTAACTATTTGTTGCCTAAATTTAAATTTAGGTATAATGCGAATTATCATGCTATAATTCATCATACTATAAAAGTAAATTATAATTTTATTTTATATACCTGTTTTAGAAGTGGGCTCTGAAAACAAGAACATTGAATAACATTGGTAAGAACTGGTATAAATGATTTGCAGAATGGATCAGTAAGTGGTAGAAATATTTTACGAATACAGCCATGTTGAATAGTCATACTGTAATTTTTCCTAGAATAAAATATACCTAATAAAATTTAATGAAAAAAGTAAAGCTAAAATTTATTCTATAATTTATTTTATTATATTTTATATATAATAATTTGCTGTTAATTTATTTATATTTCACATCGAATGAGTAAATTTTTATATCTTACTTTGCTACGTGCAACATTTCTCCTTCGTCGTACAATTTCTTTAGGGTTAAATTTATCGGTGCAAAAAATGAATGATCTTCAACGAGCATTACTTCATCAAATGTATCAAACATAAAGAAACGACTACATTTAATGTAAGTATCATCGAAGTGATAATTGAAATAAAACATTAAATAAGAATATGATTGACTTATGCATGGGAAAATATGCCTGCAAATTTTTGTTGCAAAATATTTTGTACTTTCAAGAATGAAATATTTGAAGTAATATAAATCTTATTTATTAAATTCTAAAATTTTTTTGTTTTCCTTTTTTCTAATGTAAGATGATATTGCTATTGTTTTATCTAATTTTGATCATAAATAATATAAAACATATTGATTGCATAATCATTTAGTGATAAACATTATTGTTTTGGAGCGTTGTAAAATAATTTTTGAAATACAAAAAATCGTTGAATTTCTCGATGTCATAATAATTATTTAAGCGTTACTATTATTTTGAAAAAAATCTATCAAAGGAAAAATTCAAAATTCCTAAAATGAATTAACAAAAAAATATTTGAAATCATTTTTGGAAATATTTCAAATATCGATTTTTTATCATTCGATTATACTATTAAGTATTATTTAGTTCAGAAGATGATATTTTCAAATATCGTTGAAAAATAATTATTCCTGCAAATTTTTTCCAATCATTCATTCACATTAAAATTCAATTTTAATGAACTTACGTAGAACTAATAAGTTGGTTAGTTTCCTCAAAATATTTATTTCCAAAATGATTACACAAATCATCCTCATTACAGCAGCATCTAAATGTAGCGATCACATGATCTGTTGAAATTAAATCTTGCAAGCAAATTGGTGCTTCAATTTTGCATCCTTCATCTTTGCATAATTCTTCTGTATCACTTCCATACTTTATTTCTAACCTTTAATAAATTGCTTGATTGCATAATTTAATGCGTAAACTAAATAATTATAATAAAATATTATATAATATTACGATATTATCAGATTTGATACTTTGCTCGTGCGAATATGCTAACATTTGAAGAATTCAAATTTTTACATAACACTTGAAATAATAGAAATAATTAAATAAACTAACGATGTTGGCGGCTTTCGATCAGTTTCCTTAAATTCCAAAGAAACTATGAAATAGCAAAATGCTTCAGGTTCTGCTAATACTTCACGTTTTCCAATTTTCATCGTAAAATCTTCCTTATTCCAATTACCAATTGTCAGATTATAACTACCAACTGCACAAAGGTGTAAAGGTATATTGTATTTAGACGGTGTCACATATCCCGTGAAGCTATCAACTGAAAAGAGAAGTTAAGAATTAAAAGTTGTATTAATTATGAATTTGTTTTTTTCCTAAAAATTCAGTCATTTCAATATAAATTACTTTTTTCCCACTTATTATTAAAATAATTCTATTTTAACAATTTTATAATTCTAATTACTGTTATTTTTAATAGTTAATTACCTGTTGGCTTGCTATAAATATATTTGTGATACATCCATGGCCTACCCGAAATTGGCGCAAATGTATTAGCTTTAAAATCGAATAGAACAGCTTCCATAAATGATCGTATATAACGATCAGTTACCCAAACTTCTGCATTTCTACTTGCATATGTAAGTAATTTTTCATCACTTGTGTAAGCACAAAGTTTATAATTCATATCGCAACAACAATAAAAGAAAAATTCCAATGGTGACAGATAATATATACATTCTGATTTAGGACATATTTTTGTAAAATTCATTGCAACAATATCCGCTAATGAATTCTTAAAACAAATTATTAATTAAATATTTGAAAAGCAAGAAGAATTTAATTAATAAAAAATCTAATCAATATTTACAATCTAACGATTATTTCAATTTAATATTGTTGGAAGAACTTGTATATTTTATGCATAATAATGAAAATGAATTCATTCCAAAGTTATTTAAAGTTATACAAAAAATCGTTGAATTTCTCGATGTTATAATATATTATGATATTCGTTGAATTTCTCGATGTTATAATATATTATAATATTCGTTGAATTTCTCGATGTTAGAATATTTTAAAACGAACATTTAATTTTTCAGTCGATTGTGATAAGTGATAAAATTTTGTTATCAACATTGGTCCAGCGTAAATTTTTTGTATTGAACGCGTATCCAACAATAATACACATCGCTCTACGCCAATTACTTTCATCCAAAAAAAAACATTCTAATTAAATTTTAGATTTCCTTTTTGCTTTTACTTATTTATTTGCAAATATCTTACTGTAACAATATGGAAAGAAAAGAAATAAAAAAGTTGAAAAAAGCGTTAATAAATGAATATTAGAAGAATTTGTTAAATGTGTACTTATCACTTTTGAAGTTGTTAATTAATTAATTATTTAAACTGCTCAAATATGTCTGTCTACTAAATTTTCAAAAATTCAATTTTCATTCAGTAGGAGAAAATGAAAATTACTTACTGCAAGTGTACCATCCTCCAGCAAACAATATGGAAGTGATTTACCAGAGGTATATTTATATGTGTTGTAATTCGATTTCGGCAAATTTTTTAATAGTAAATTACCAATAAAATTAGCAATTTCGTTATCGGTCATATTCTAATAAATTTTGGACAATAATTTTAATTACAAAATTAGTGGATGTTTTTACTATAAGCAGAAAATATACTAATATATAAAAATAAACAAACAAACATTTGTGTATGAGCAATCATTGCAGCAATAATAAAAGATATCCATCAAATGGTTTACTTTCATTCTTCGATTATCACTTCATAAATGTTTTTAATTAATATTATAAGTTCTTAATTAATGAATTTAATTAATATTATAAGTTCAAATTAAAATTGTTAAAATAATCAATTTATTAGCGTGTATAATTAATGGCAAAAAAGATTTTGTTGAAAATTATTTTTCTTTTCAACTTATAATTCTTTTCCATAAAATTTCTGAATTAATTTAATTTGAATATATATATGTATAAAGAACATACGTATATGTCCGTTCGGAAAAATCGATCTGATATGCAAATCCGTAAGTATAGCTTGTAGTTTTCAGGCAATTTTGAAGAATTGCTTTATTGCTAGCATCAAAATCACGTTTTAACTTCCAATTTCCTTCCATAAGGCGTATAAAATAGTAACAAAAATGAAAACCCTTAAAAATAAATTGAAAGAAATCATCCATTTTCTAATTTTAATTCATTCTTATATCATATGATAAATAAACATTCTCATAAATATATGCTAATAACTTCTTATATGATATGGCAAATAAATATAGATATATGTTAATAATTTCTTATATGATATGGTAAATAAACATTCTAATTAATATATGCTAATAACTTCTTATATGATATGGTAATAAATATATGCTAATGACTTCTGAAACCTTTGGCGGATCATTGCAAGGAATAAATCGTTTTATGCGTGGAAATGAGGAAATTAATATTTGCTGTAATGAATTATCACATTGCCCTGAAAATGAATTATGATACGGTTGATTTACAATTGAATTTTGTTTTTCTGTCGAAAATAGCAGCAAAAGAATTTCTTTTCTTCTTATATTAAAATGTAATATTTATTATTTTATCACTATTTTCGTATGAGTGAAATAATTACAATTTTGAAATTTTTATATAATTAAAATATTTTTCGCAGGTAATTAATTCATTTTATTGTTTAATTACTATTCAATACATTTTTGATTATTGTTCACTTATGTATTTTAGTATTTGAGTACCAAATTATACCATCATCGCAAATTGTGTCATTTGTAAATGATGCAACACTTAGTGCACATAACCAAAAGAGATTTGACTGAACAAGCCAGCGAGACATTTAATGACAAACATTAATTAGAGAAGCTTCCGATTCATTTTATACTCATCCATTTAGCACCAAATATGCTAATTTAGTAATCTAAACAACAGTTTGAAGAATTTTAGAGGTGTTTGATTATTTCAATTTTATTGATTTGTTGTAATTTTTTTAATGAGATTCTTTTTGTGGTATAGCTTTATGTGGCATATCGAATACGATTAATGCACAATTCACAACTTAGTTGTTGTTATAAATTGTCCAATCATCCCACAACTTGGTTGTCGCTATTAATAGCCCATTCATTCCACAATTTGTCTCCATTTGGTGCCTGTACTTCTAACCGACCCCTCTTTACGGACCACTGGCACTTGGGTTGTGAAGCGGGTGGTAATAATGCAGGAGGCCGTACACAATAGTAGACGCAAAAAGCAAAATATACTTCTAACTTTGCTATAATTGAAATCATTATATTAAAATTTGAAATAAAAATATTTTTGTGTTCTGAAATGTAAATATAACGGAATATGGAATAGCATTTTATTATTCCGATATATTTTGAAATGAATTATATTGTAGTTCCTATTTAGAATGGATTGCTGTGTTCAATATTCGGATGATAAAATTTATGAGATTTCATAACTTCATATTACTCTTCTTCGAGATTTTATCTTGAAAAGAATTAACAAAGAATTTCCGTTAAGATCCTTCACATCGTGTACTTCATTCTGAGTACTTTATACAAAATTATGCTTATGAATTGAAAATGATAAAATGATGGATATATAAAAAGTATAACTAAGGCATACACTTCATGAAATCGAAATCAGAAAGTATTGGTGGAAATTTTAAAAGAAGAAATAAGTAGTTTGGAGAGGAAAAAGAAGAAAAGATGAAATTCTAAATTGAAAAGAGAATTATGGTACTTTGATTTATTGCAAATTGTTTTATAGAAAATAATTAGTTTTTTCTAATAATAATTCTTTTTAAATTTGAAATAATTGAAATAGCATTCACTCTTTTTTTTTCATTAAAATTCTTTCAATTTAAATTTGAACAAATTTATTTCAACCAAAATTTCAATATGATGAAATGCTTTTTCAGTTATAATAATGCTACACTTATTTAATGTATGAGTAATGTTTCGTTAGCAAATCTGCTAAAATCATTATAAACTGATTAAAATGAATTTCTTTTGAAGATGATGACAGTGTGGGATAAAAAGAATAAGAACGTTTAACCTTTACAACTAACAGTTTTATATGTATTATATAATTAAGTCTTATTATACACCTTAATTAACTAATTCTAATAGCTAATTGTACACCTTAATTAACTAATTCTAATAGTTAATTTACACCTTAATTAACTAATTCTAATAGCTAATTTATACCATAATTAACTAATTCTAATAACTAATTATAAGTTCAGCAAATTATTCTCGAATACATAATTAATTACTTTGATGGAGTAATTCTTGAGGCGAAGATTTAATGTATAAAAACTTTTGCTGATAGATTACAGCATGCAAATATATTTTTTAAATATCGGAAAAAAGAAACAATGGAATAGTTGAAAACTAAAAAATTACTCTTTCGCTACTTCACTAGTGAAATATTTTATAGTATATAGCATGTTGTTTTTTGATGCTTTTAAGCAGTTCGTTTTATTCAACAATTCGATTTATTTTTAACATTTCTGAAATGGAATAATGAATAGAATGAATGACTTTATAAGATAAGTAAATAAAGAATTGGCATAAAACAAAAAAAGCGATCAATCAAATTATTTTACTATTCAACGATAATAATTTACTAACAATCTTTTGTTAAAAAATTGTGCAAAAAATTTTACAAAATATTTAATTTTGAAATGTCCGAAATTAAATCTTTTTATATGAAATATTTTATGTAAATTTTAAAAGTGAAAACTTAAATTGAGCTAATATTATGATAATTCTTTCAGTGATATTAACAATTCATTCAATTTTCCATCTTTGTAATAACCCGATAAATTCATCAAATCGAATTGTAATTTTATACAAATTTTGCTTTATACTAAATTTTATTCCTAAAAGGCAAACATACATTTGAATGTGTGAAATGCATTTACAACACAAATGAGTGATTTGGTGTTAGTATAATAAAGTATCATGAGTTATTTCCGATCCTCTCTTGCATACCTTTTTCTTAAGTCATTATCACATGTCTTTAAAGCTAACTGAAATTATGTTAAATCATTGGAAATGTTAATCACAGTTTATCCTACAGAAAATATGAATACTTTCAAATTTCATTTAATCATTTCAATGAATGAAATATATTTTAAATGAACAAATTTCTAAACTGATACATTCATATTAATAATTTTGGTTGAATACTTTTTAAAATCATCCAACTATTTGTTGGCTAAATTTATTTTGTTCAATTAATTGTTGACTAAATTTATTTTATACATACTTTATATATATATATATATATATCAAATTGCTAAATTGTATTAACATACCTTTTGTAATTATAGTTTTAATTTTTTTCAACCTTTTGTAATTAACAAATGAAAATAGTTTTAAATTCTAATTCTATTATGTATGACATTCTCTCCTTAGTCGTATAGTCTTTTTTTAGAGTTATATTTCATGATGTGAAAATTGAACATTCTTCAATGAGTATCAATCATTTCATTTAAATGTATCAAATATAAAGAAACAACAGCATTAATGCAACTATCATCAAAGCGATCATTGAAATAAATCATTTAATAAAATGTGTTTGATCGACTGTCTTTTACATTTCTTTTTTGGAAGCTATTCGATTCCTATTTTAATATATATTTGTAAGA